ATATTTTGGTATATAAATAAAATATAGTTCATAGTGGTAAGCAGTGCGCGCTTCCACTCCGCATCACCCGGGTTCAAACCCTGATCAAAGCAACATGGACAAAAAATATATAAAAAAGGTTTCTTCTTAACAGCGGTCGTCCCTCGGCAGGCAATGGCAAACCTCCGAGTGTATTTCTGCCATGAAAAACAGCTTCTCATAAAAATACAATCGCCATTCGGAGTCGGCGTAAAACTGTAGGTCCCTCCGCTTTGTGTGACAACATCATGGCGCAAACCACAAATCGGAGGAGAAGCTCGGCCAAACACTAACATATGTATGTGTAAGCGCCAATCTACTATTATTATTATTATTATTAAAGTTCATAAAAAATAAAAGTGTTATTCATTTTAACATGAGTGTACACATCATTATAGACAGGAGCCAATAAATTATTTTATATTTGTGACTTTTTGAATAGCAATAATGAGATAATTCCCATTTTCAGTGTTTAAATATTCAAAGAATTCTATACATTTCATTTTAAAATTGCTTTTAATTTGAAGTTCACTTTCAAAAATTTTAATTAGAAGCCGGTTTCTCTCTCTGCGCCAGGAAACAAACTTTATTCTTAAGATCCTCTCATACTGTGAAAAAGTACAACTTTTTAAGGAGTTCATCTATATTTCCTCATTGCTTAACCCTTCGGAGGACGCGCCGCGGAAAATTAGCCGCAAAAATTGTAATGTGTGGTTTTCAAATACAAATTTTAGTAGCCGGCCACTGCAACTTAGTGACTTAGTAAGTTTTGAGATGCAGAAAGGTTCACAGTTAGATGTTACTTTCTGCATTATATAGTTTAGTTGATATTTGTATTTGAAAGTAGGTGCCTCATATATGCGGCTGAGTTGCCGCGTCGCGCCTTTCCGTGTACCAAAAAAATTTGAATTGAACTCGTAAAATTTTTTTAAGATAGTTGGAAAAGTGAGTTTGTGATAAGGGTCTAAATCAAAATTGTTATTTTTTAAGTATTTTGTCATGTGTAATTTTAAAGTTATACTTAAAATTATTCTTTGCGTACAAATTGTAACTATTATGATATTCATTTTCTTAGGTTTTAGAGAAAAACGATGTTTTTAAATGATATATTTTAGAACGAATTTCCGTCATCCCTTGTCAAATTTGGTTTGGGGACAAACCGGTTTCGGCGTTGTGCCATATTCAGTGTCAGGAGATGTTGTTAAACTTATATAGAAGCGAACCAGCTACGCAAGAGAAATTGAAACAAGGAATATCTACCAGGAATAATAAGACAAAAATTTGCTGTACATATTAATTGTAACAAAAATGTTTGCAGAAAACATTGCAAGCATATTTCACAATGTGTAGAATGTACCAACACCACTGTTGATGATGACGCATAAAAATTTAAAAAATAAATGCTTATAATATGTTTCGGTATAAACACAAATTATTCGAATGTTTTATTTGAATGATTTTTCGACATAAATAAGAAAAAATGCAGTCAACCTTTGAGATACGGCGGCTAAATTGCCGCGGCGCGCCCTCTCGTGTAACGCCCTCCGAAGGGTTAAATAATTTTACAACTACGCAAAAACTGTAAAAGACTAAGAACTCGCTAAAAAGAGTATCTAACTCTATGTCTTGTATGCAAAACTCTTTTACAAAGTCAGTAAATTGAGAAAAAGGAGTTGTAAGTTATAGGCAAAAGCCATTCAAACATTGAAATTTATTTTTATTAAACTGAAAGTTATTTTCGAGATAACTAACAACACTCGACAAAAATTTAAGCCTTCTTTTTAATTAATTTATGCTCCATCATATTATCGCAACTGGTACGTAACGACCCGGCGATATGCCCATAAAACGATTGATCTTTTTGTTGTATTTATTTCTTCGGCATATCAAACATTATCTAAAACATGTCACCTATAATTAAATTATTTTATTTTTATTTTTTACAGTACAGTTTAAGGAAGTTCCAACGTTATGTAAAAACCTTAAGAAAATACTAAAGTATTTGGTTTGAATGGAAAATTCATTACAAATCAGAACATATTTTGAAAAATCAGGACATTAGCGTACTGATTGAAGAAAGGAATAAAATCAGTACAAGAGTTGAAAAATCAGTACTGTACTGATAAAATCAGTACGTCTGGTAACCGTAAAACTGTCAGTCTTTCCTGCACGAACTGCTGAGATTAGCTGTTTCTCTGCTTTTTTTTGCAGAAATTTGCTTACGGCACGGTTTGCAAAATAACACGCTTCCATCAATTTTTAAGCATGAGAATTGCCTCACATTTTCAGCCAAACTGCTCGATAGTTTTTTTTGCCTGCTTTGGCATCTAATAAATGAAAATATTAGTGACAAATTAATGAAAAATTTATAAATTTATCTTCAATTCAAACGGCAAAATATGAAACCATTTTCCACATTTTAGACTGATGAAAATGATCTGTTCCCGTGCCAGTAAAAAATACAGGATTTAGTCAACTTTTACAGAAAAACATTCTTCCACGCGTAAAAGTCATATCTGCACAAGTACGACAACTCCTTAATGCAAATTCTGGCTATACTTCAGCTTAGTAAGGGAACAGCACAAAAATGAGCAAACTCGCTTTGTGGGAGCTTATGTTCGTGTTTCTTTCTTTTACATACTCCGCTTCAAACGTAAAATAAGAATACACATAGATACTGTTGTCCCTCCCCTGCAGTGAAACCCCAAACTAGTCAGGAAAAATACTAGTTTACAACTAGAATTTCCTGACTGAAACCGAACTAGTTCGAAAATTACCAGACTTGTACCAAGTACAAACTATTTATTCATGCCCTGTTTTGACTTCGACAGTTTAATACAATAAAGTAAACAAAATATTATAACTTTTATTTGGGTATATTGTAAACCATTAAAGGGAGTATGTATTCAATTATACAAGACCTGTTAAATAATGATTAATATTCATAATGATTATTAATTAAAGCATGTTTCTTTGGATAACCGTTTAATGAGTAATAATTAATTACGTAAAAAAACGTTAATTAATTCATTAATTTTAATTACATCATTATTTTGTTATTTTTGATCATTTTCAATTATATTTGACTTGTTTTAATTACACGATTATAATTATTTGATTAATTTCTATTATTAATCATCAAGTCGGCCGCTGTGGTGTAGTGGTAAGCAGTGCGCGCTTCCACTCCACAACGCCTGGGTTCAAACCCTAGTCAAAGCAACATCGCAAAAAATATAGAAAAAAGGTTTTTTTCATAACAGCGGTCGTCCCTCGGCAGGCAATGGCAAACCTCCGAGTGTATTTTTGCCATGAAAAACAGCTTCTTATAAAAATACAATCGCCGTTCGGAGTCGGCGTAAAACTGTAGGTCCCTCCGCTTTGTGTGACAACATCAAGGCGCACGCCACAAATCGGAGGAGAAGCTCGGCCAAACACTAACATTTGTGTAAGCGCCAATCTAATAATAATAATAATCATCAAGAAAAACTATTGACAAAAGCTAAGAATATTTAATAACTGCTTGAATTATTTATTTATTTCATTCTTATCCAAATCTCAAATTTTAAACATAAATTATTACTTTTGTAAAATTTGAAAAAGAAAAGACTGGAATGTGCAAAGTTAATGAATTTAAAATTATTTTAATGAAAACTTTCATTTTTATTTTAGTTCCCTCAAAAATGAACTAATGTCTTCATTTTATTTTTAACTAAAATGTTTTCTTTTGCATATTAAATATTATTAAAAAATATAGTATTTATTGTACCTGAAACCTTTTACTTTTAATAACCCTTAATGAAAAATGTGTAATATATTAAAGTGTACTTAATCAAAAGTGTCTTATTGTATATTCATGAATTCATTTAATTTTTTTACTTCCAAAGTAGTCGTTTTGGTCCTAATTGGACTAGTATTTTTCTGTCTATTTTGAACTAGTATGAGACGGGTATATTTCTGACCGAAATCTGACAATTGCCATCTCGTAGAACATCCCCATGTTAAAAATACCAGTTGATTGCATGGAAAAAAGATAGTTGGCTGACTAGTTGGGCATGCGGTTCATACTAGTTGTAAGGTAGTTTACAACTAGTACGTTTGACTACAGGGTCATTTCAGAAACTTAAGATCATCCGAGATGATTTTTTCCAATTGCAAAACATGCAAATTATGGCTAAAAGCATGCTAAGAATTACAAAATATTACTTTATATTTGCATGTTAGACACAATTGTGTCAATATGCAAAAATATGCATTTATAGCAAAATATGTAGCTTGTTTTCTTCGTTGCGAATTATGATCATTTCTGAGGCCATTTGAAAGGACAATTTAAATCTTATCTTTCCCGAAAAATAGCATACGTCGAGAAAATAGGAGCAAATATTTGCGTACCTCTGACTTTGTCGCGTCTACTCAAAAGTCACGGGTAACTGCTGTGACATCTTTCAAAAAGTCACCGTGACAGACTGTGACAAATGAACACTAGCAAGCGTTTTTTTTGGTCTCCTGAAAAATTATGGTTTTTTTTTTTACACTTACAATGATATTCCCGGCGATCCTTCAATTCTTTGTCGAATTTTTCGCTCAAAATGATTTGATCCCAGATGGTTTTAGACTAGTTAGTATTAAAATGTGAATGCTTGTGAGTGAGGTGAGTTTGCGAAATCGTTTGGCAAACTGGGAGATTAAATGAAACAAAATGTTCTGGGTGAAGAACTTCGAAGAATTGGCTAAAAGTTTGCACTACGCCTAATTTCATACTAAAACTGACAGAAATGGAATTAAAAATCGAAACAAATTCGTTATTTATTTATTTATTTATTTATTATTAGGAGACTTAACAAATATTCTCAGACGATTTAGAATAACCGCAAATTGTTTTGAAGCTTTAGAAAATGTATGACCTTCTCACAATATGACTAAATTATAACATACGTAAACAAATACACATTAATTTGTAAATTCATACAATTAATTTCAGAAAATTGAGACGGATGACAGCAAACCAATGTTAAAGACAGATGTCGAAGTTTTCCAAGGAAAAATCGTTTTTAATTTAGATGGTAATGCCTTCATAATTGCCACGGAAAACTCAACGCAGGATTTAATAGCGAGTGGTAAGTAACTTTTTTTATGCTTTTTCCTTAATTTTATTTTTTTAATTTTTTTTTTTGTGCATATCGCACACCTGAATCAAAAGGGAACTAACTAAAAATCAGATCCGGAAATATAATTGCTTATGCAGTGTACAGATTCAACGCAATTGATAGAAAAAAGTATAGCAGTAGCTTTTTAGTAAGTGAATATAATCATGAAGCAAAAAATATTTGCATTAATTTGAGATAAGTCCTATGAATTGATTTAAGCACAAAGATCGGCCAAAATTGTTTTCGAGTTAGCTGTCTTTAGGTCTAGGTGTGCGATATGTACAGAACAATTTACATGAGGGTGGCCCTGTATGAGGCACTTTTAAGGAAATCCGCAAAAAAGGAAATAATTACTTGCTTGAAATTCATTTAAAGCGCAGTAAACACTGTCGGAGGCACAACGCTTGTTCTTTTATCGAAAAGAGACGAACATTTAAAATCGATAGGCTAAGTGTACAATAGCCAGCGCATGCTAAAAAAAGGAAAACTGAATGGAAAATTTTATTAAATTTATTCCAAACAAATTTTTGATATATGTACATATATTATTTTTATATATTGATATAAACTTATATATACATATTATACTTGAGACGCTGAAGCTTGGTGATTCTACTTTATTCTAGCTAAGAACCTAAGGTCTGCGCTAGGAATGTTAATGAATGTTAATGTGGACTTTTTAAGGTCTCGAAAATGCCGGCATTCTTGGCAAGTAAACCCGGAATTTTCGGGATTTGTAATTTTCACTGATGGCAATAATAGAAACTCCTTTTCTTGACCAGCATTGGTTTTATTTCTTTTTTTATTTAATAATTAATATATTTAATAATATAATATTTTTTTATAAATGTCTAGCTCATTACACATATGTATGACACCGCGCGATAGTAAATTTTAAACACAAATAGCAATATATTCGCGAAATCATTGGCCAAATATAGTAAAATTGCGTTTTTAGTTTTTCACTCTGACGTCAGTAATTCAAAAATGATTAAAAAAAAATACAGAGAAATGTGTTTGGAGAAGAAGTTTGGGTATAAAATTAATGAGGAAATCTTGTAGAATTTAAACATACTCAAGTTTCTAGTGCAGAAGGGCTAGTAAATATTGAAAATGTCATTGTAAAATTTTATCCTTGAAATTTCGCAATATTCGTTCGAATTTCGTTCTTCTAACTTTGTCAGCTTAAAAATTACCTATTCATCCTGGTGAATTAAAAAAATTAAAATTTTCTAAATTCTAAAGAAATTTCCTATCGCATTTGTTACCCATATTTTTATTCTACATAGCATTGAATTTGTTAATAATTTTTGGAATTAATCATATCATTTAAATTACAAAATAAATCCTGCGGTCAGAGAGAAAAAATAAAAACGCCACTTTAAATAAAAAAGTAGATTTCACACCATGATGCAATAATTCCAGGGATTGTCTTCCTAGAGAGTTCTGTTTCTCATCGAAATTCATGCTCCCTTATTTTCATTTTGACGCAGTTCAATGTTTATTCTTTTACTTTTATTTGGCTTTGCTTTTTGTTTTCGCTCAATTTAATTTTTATAACTTTTTAAAACAAAAGAAAGAACGTTTGAAATTAATTGAGCCATACAAACTTTGAATTTATTTACAAGAAAATGTTTTTTTCCAGCTATTGCAAACTGAATGAGTTCTCTGTAAGATGGTTTGTTAAAACAAAATACGAGAACATACATATATGGTATATGGGGTATGAAAAAAGGGATATTTCCAGCAGTAAACATTTTAGTGTGGGCAACAATGATATTTTTTAAATAAGGCAGATCGGAATATGCGCTCTTTGGGAAGACAATACCTGTAATTATTGTATCATGGTTTCAAACCCATTTATTTACTATTTATTTCATGGTAGGAGCGCTTTTCAAACAATATAGAAGCAATGTTTTCGATTCAAGTTGTTGAAAAGTAATGAATATCTAAATCCCGGGATCCCGGAATTTTGACAACGCCGTCCCGAGAATCCCGGGATCGGAAAAAGCCCAAAAATTAACATCCCTAGTCTGCGCAGCCTCAGGATCAAGCGCAGAAGTAGTTATTCATCTTGCATCTCCCCAGTTGCCAGTTCCTTTTCGCTCGCGTTTTTTTTTTGGTCCAGGGTACCATCATTACAAAACTGAACTTGTATCTCTTTACTTTAATATAAGAATCCTCATCTACGCCCGCGTTGAGCCGTAGTCTTGTGCCTTTAGTGATGTCAAGCCACACCGATGTTAAAACGACCTCGTTCAGCGTCTGCAGAAATCCCCCGCATGTGTATTGGCAGTTTCGAAACTGGACGGGCGGCATATGTAGCTTGCTCTCATGTCGAAGTAGTGCGACGCACAGTCTTCATCGGCAGTTGTGTACCTGTAATCCGCGATATCTTATACATATAAAGCTTACCAAGCCGGCGGCGGGGACTTTCCCACTGGCTGCTTGCTAGTATTTTATTTCTCCCTCGTGATATATCCCTATGTTAGTGGTGATGCCTCCATATCATAGCAGCCTTTAAGGAAGCTCTTTCTGCGCCTAGTCTTACATTTTTCTTTTGTTGAGGCCGGCAGGCTAGTTTCTGCCGTTATTATTATTCTCTTTTTGTTGGCGATTTAAATATCGACACGTCAAAGCAAAGGATCATTACGTGGTATTATCAAAGTCTATAAAAGAAAACAATCGGTTAATTTTCTTTTAGTTTACTTATGTATAAAGACCGAAACATCCCTTCTCCTCAAACCTTGTACTATAGATACATTTATATATGTGTCTGAACTAAGCTGATGGGAGCCACCCTAATGTAAAAATACTGACAACATGTTCTTCGATTTTAATTAGTTTACCGTAGCTTTATAGTGAGAGATAAACCTTTGTAAAAAAGTGTGAATATTTCACTGTATAGCTTTAGTACTTAGTAAAAAATCTCCTTTTGAGTTTAAAACATTCGTTATAGTTGGTAGGCATTTAAACTAATTTTATAGTTCCAAATTCCATACCGATGAATTAACAGCAAAAACCACAGCAGGTTCATCGTTAGTAACGACAAATGAGGTTGGAAGGAAGATAACCGCACCATCAAATTCAACATCAGCTACGACAAAGTCAACAAACAAAACATCGACCACTTCGGCAACTTCAAAGGAAGTCTCAAGCAGTCGAGATGATGAACATAAGACTACACCAAAAAGCACCAACATTCTAAAAACCACCGCAAGCCCTCGTATACATTCTTTTCGCATAGTGAGTGCTCAGTATGCCTCAGCCGCCGTTGTTGCTACCACTACCGCCACCACCATCAAAAGCACCACCGACGAGCAAACGGAATTCGGGACATATGTTGACCAACAACCACAAAAGCCACAGCATCGACGTCGACATAGCAACAGCAGCGATACCGATAACGACAACGATAGTGACAGGACCAACGGGTACAATATAGTGCAGCGCTCTTCCAAAATACAAAAACCGATATTGATGTGCTTTATATGCAAACTATCTTTTGGGAATACTAAATCATTTAGCTCGCATGCTAGCTCAGAGCACCAACTGACTCTGCAACCAAAAGAACAGCATTTACTAAACCGCGAATATTCGAGTGCTATCATTCAGCCTCCAAATATGGACGAGAGTCCACAAATATCATTCCTTGAGCCAATTGATATGCTCAATGTTATAAAAAGTGACGATTTAAATACTGAGACTGATGTTCAATTCAACGAGGGTACAACCCAGGCAGTGACTTTCGGATCGAATGCTAGAGAGGTTTCGGAGAGATCGGTTGTTGAACGAATAATGAGCGAAAAGGCTGACGACGCGGCGGCGACAACGGACACAAAATCATCAATTAGACCATTAACTTCTGGTTCAACATCGCCATCAACGTCTGCGCCAATGTCTCCCGACCTATCGTTGTCATCAATAGCGTCGCCTAAGTCCTTGCGGACCGCGCCTACGGCCGCAGCGCCACCAGCAGCATCACCTTCACAAATCACATCCACACTTGAGTTACCCAGCGCTATTGATAGTAGCAACAATAGTCATTTACTGATTAAAACCTCCCTTTCCAACATCCAACAACAACGATACGAAGCAGTTGCTTTCGTCACCGAGGCATCAGCAATGACAACGCCTACATTATCAAGCCAACTGGCAGAAAGCACCAAGCTTAATACCATTGAGCAGCAGTCGCGGCGGCAACAACAACAACAGCAAACAACAATCATTACTAATAGATTAAAGGAAAATGCAGCTGTAGAAATGAAAGATATTGATGACTCCAAAGCGAAATTAACTGCATTTTCGCCGTCCTTGACTTCATCGGCAGGCGAGAAATCATTATCATCCACAACATTGTCTTCATCAATACTACCAAAGAATGAGTCAGAAAAGTCATCAAATACTGAAACAAAATATGGTACATACTCATTAGCTACATCACAAGCTGTATTAGGATCAAGCTCTGATTGTGCATTAAAGCCAAGAATAACCGTATGCGTAACACCTACAACAGCGTCTACCGCGAACAATAACTCCGATCTGTTGAGTAACCCAGGGAGCAGAAGCCTTCAAGGTGCAAATGCTTCGGACTGTCATAGCCCGCCACTGACTGCAGTGACGAAAGTTGAGGCTGAAAATACAGAAATGGGTGCTGCGCCCACCAGTGCCTCCGGGTTCCAGCACATGCAGTTGCAGTGCGACACGGACTCGGACAGAAAGCTAGACCGAGCCGATACCCTATCGCGGCTTTCAGCTGATGCAGTCAATTTCCTGCAGCAGCAGCAACAGCAACAGCAGTATTCGGCAATGAGCAGCAGCACCTTTGCCACCCCGCCAACCTCTCTAATGTCCATGACACACACACACAGTAATCTCAGCTGCTTGCACTCCTCTTTAGTGGCTTTAACTGATGGTACTTCGGCCATCTGTAGCTCTACAGAGGCTCAAAAAACCAATGCAAAGTTAATCAGCGACTTTTTACAACAGCATATCAGCTTACAGCAGCAGTACGCTGCAGTCAGCGGCAGCTGTGCAGAACATACAGACTATAAGGATAACGACTGCAAAAATTGCGAAATGCAACAACTTAAATCTCCCCCGTTCCACAACTCCAGCCAGCAGCATGTGATAACCAGCACCAATACAACACCGCAACGGTCACCAACACGCAGCAACAGTAGCTGCACAAGCACCAATATACAGTCACCAGCGAATTTAACTACATCGCCGAACACCACAGCTGTCTCAGCAGCAGCGGTGGCGGCGGCGGCGCAACAACAAAACGCAGCTGCTGCTGTAGCTGTGGCTGCCGCTGCAGCGGCAGCCGCGGCTGCATCCGTAGCCAGCAACACATCCAGTTTTACTATAGGCGCTTGCTCGGATCACATCAACGGACGACCATTGGGCGTAGAATGCACACGGTAAGAATACATATTTTTTTGCTATATACACAAACAAGCATCAACATACATCAAACTGCGCAGTAGAGCATGATAACAATCGATAATGACGTCCATCGATTTTTTCGATGGTTTTGCAGAATTCCATCGATTCTATAGATAGTTCCATCGAACTTTGTGTGAAATAAAACAAATTTTTAACAAACAAAAATTTTATTGAGATGCTTAAAATGTGAAATTCAAGGCTCACATTTATAAATACAGGTTTGCTCACTGTTATCCATCAAATATCATATTCTTGGTTTAAATTTATAAATAGGATCTTGTTCACTGTTAAAGCGTTCAGACTGCATCGTCTGTCCGATATTATTTGCCCCGCCTTGCTGAAAGTCCCATCTGCTTCGCAGGAGGAGGCAGGGACGTACAAATATTTTTTTGCTATTAGGGCCAATGCTTCCGTCGGGGTTTTCTGAAAGGCAATCAAAGATTATAAATTATGTATTACGAGAAATAAATAGATACATGCCTTCCTGTGTGCAAGAGGAATTGAATCTTCTGGTTCACATACTGTTCTTAAATACTGCCGCATTAAGATTATTGCATCAACTTGGACGGTTTTTATTGTAGGTTGGTCTGTTATATGATTATACATATTTGGATTTGGTGGGTGGTGCTGGATTTTCCTTTTCTAAAGCTATTGATGCTTGATCCGCATGTTCCCGAATGCAAAACGGCCGTTTTTTGTAATGCTAGAAGCGCTCTGGCAAACGTTTGATGTGCAATAGGCTAGCTTCAACGGCTTCTTTTGCCTTTAGTTTCGAGGCATGATTGGTGACAGTTTTGTGTAGTTGAAAATATGTTGGAATAATTAGCGCGATTGTAACTGCCTTATTGGCTGACACCTCCAAAGTTCTTGAATCAAGCTATAGGGGTTATCTACAACCTGCATGCTCTTAAATTTTTCATACGATATTGTACTGCTTTTGAAGTATGACACTATACGCTTGCATTTTGTTAATATCTCTGCCAGTATAGGAGTTTTTAAAACATAGTGGACAATCAAGTTAATGGTATATGAAAAACATGGAAGATGATTTTCTATAAAATCTCACAAGCTTTTTTCGTGGTACTGTCATTGTCAGTGACGACAGTTACAAATTTATTTATTATTTTATTATTATATTCCATTGGATAAATTGAGTTTCTGCAATGTTTTCAGCACTATAGTTTAGAGAAAAATCAAAATTGCTATTTATAAAAGGACAGGTGACTGTAAAATAACCGTAATTTTCCTTTGAGGTTCATACGTCTGTCGTGACGCTAAGAAAATCTACCTTTTCCAATGCAGCCTGTACCTTTAATTTTAAATTGTTGTACTTCCTAGTTATCATTAGCCGTGTTTTATTTGTGCAGAAATTGAAGCTATTAGCTTATTTTGTATGGAGGACTTACCCAACATAATTATGTTGGCTTATGAAAGGCTGTCTTGGCTTGTATATTGAACAAGAGGCATTGCCATTCAACATCAGAAATTTTCTCCTTCAGCCAATCAGAAAGAGGCAAAAACATACTTTGACACTATTTGCAGTCAAACAACTGTCAAAATTAGGCTAACATAGGAAATAAGCTAATTTCGTTTTATTTGACCAAGATTTAGCTATTTGCTTGTGATGGTTGAATAAAACATGCCTATTACTGTACAAAAATAATATGTGCTCGGAAATTTGTATCGGTGATCCAATTTCTGCAACAACTGCTTAAAACCAGGGTCTTGCACGATGCTAAAAGGCTGCGCATCCACGGCAATCATTCGCATTGCAGCCTTGTCCTGCATAGGGTTGTCAGATTTTTTTGGCGCGAAATCAGTACATTCGACTTTTTCGTGCTATAAGAATCAGTACTTTTCAGTACACTTTTAGTCCAAGCAGAATTATGAATGTTAGTAGCAGATAATACTTTAAAACGCTAGAGTACTTATTTTTAATAATATCTTGGTATATAAATGAAATGTTGTTTACAAAAAATAAAAATGTTATTCTTTTTAGTATGAGTATACACATTAACATGTGGTATGAAATACCTTTATAATATCATCACAGGAGCCAATAAATTATTTTATATATATGAAATTTTTTAATAGCAATAATAAGATCATTTCCACTTTCAGTGTTTAAATAGTCAAAGAACTCTAAACATTATATTTCAATATTACTTTTAATTTAAAGTTCATTTTCTAAAATTTGAATCGGTTTCTCTCTTTTCGCCAGGAAGCAAACTTTATACTTAAGTAAGTTCCACCCAGCTGCTTCGTTTAAACGTGGTATTGAAAAAACAAAATTACATATTTATTCAAACTGAGGAAAGATACCTCTATTTAAGGACTGCATCCGTATTTCCTCATGGATTAAATCACTTTTTTCAACTGCGCAAAAACTTTGAAAGACTAAGAATTCGCCAAAAAAAGAGTATCTAAATTGAGTCAGTAAATTGAGAAAAACGAATTTGTTATTATTAAACTGAAAGTTATTTTAAAAATAACAAACAACACTCGGCAAAAAATGTCAGCCCTCTTTTTAAATAAATTATACGCCATGATATTTTTTAAATAAATTATACGCCATGATATTTTCGCAACTGGTAGGTAATGATCCGCAATATGCCCATAAAACGATTGCTCTTTTGTATTAATTTCTTGCGCATATCAACTCCTACCTAAAACATGTCAACTATAATTAAATAATTTTCTTCTTACTTTTAACAGTAAATTTTATGAATGTTCCAACGTTATGTAAAAATCTTAAGCAAATCGTAAAGTATTTTGTTTGTGTAAAATAATATTACACAAACAAAATACATAGGCAAAAATTACCGATTACCGAGTTACTGCGTACCAAGCTAGGTGGGAAGAACCCTATTACAAATTTGATTGCTCAGAATTGAAAAATCAGTACAAATTTAAAAAAATCAGGACATTAGCGTACTGATTGAAGGAATGAATAAAATCAGTACGAATGTTGAAAAATCAGTACTGTACTGATAAAATCAGTACGTCTGGCAACCGTAGTCCTGCAAGACTTTTCACGAAGAATTATTATAATGGTAATTATTGCTCTGCACAAATTTTTCGAGGGTCGCCGCGTTTGAGGGTTTTTCTTCAACATGAAATGATGGGTAACACCGATTCAAGTGCTCTGTCATATTTGACATGTTGTTCACTTAAAAAAAAAATGTTGTAGATTTCCTAGCTAAAAGGTAGGTTACTGGTTTCCTACCTTATTATTCGCGGAATTACATTGCTCGATTATTCAACGAATAGTTTGTTTAAATTTCGGACTTTTTAGAGTGCAATATAGCTGCTGTGGTGTGCGTAAATTTACTAGGAAAGTGTGTACGAGCTACAAAATACACATCTGCTGTTTGATTTCACCCGTAAAATGGTGTAAAGCCGCTAACAAAAAGGATTTTTACACACGAAAATGTGTAAACGAGAAAAGTACATATTCACCGTGTAAATTTGCCAAAAAATTTTAAAAATAAAAACATACTGGATTTATAGTCGCATTTTTAAAAAAATTTTTTAGAGTGTTGGAAGACTTGTACTCACGATTGTAATGATTGTATTTTACCGCCACTGTTTACCAGATACCCTGTCATACAACAGAAGACTCTCGCTTACGCTTGGGACTTTCGAGAGTAGGTTCCGAGTTCTGGTTCGGCCCTAAAATATAAATGCTATCGTGAAAAAATTTTTTTCTTTGACTGCGCATTTGCACATTTGTATGCCACCACGTGAATTTGCAACTTTTACTCACTTCTAAGAAATTTATCCATCGTTTAAATACTCCACGGATAAGCGAGCACTACCCCTACTTTTCTATACAAAAAAGCTAATTAATAACAAATTAACATAAAAAAACATCTGCAATAATTACAATACCTTCTTATTATTTGCGCTTTTCTAAGGAACAAATATTAAAAATAAATATTTAAAATTCCTCGATTCTATCGATAGTGCAAGCGATTGTTCCCTCTATCCATAAAACCTTTAACTACTTTTCCGTTGGAGTGTTGATGATATGTATGTCGGTGGTGGAATCAGTGAGTTGCTATCATCTTCTCGAATTAGGCACACCAAAACAAAACATAAAATAAAACATATGATTTTTTCCAATCTCCAAATGTAATTTACACATTTTGAAACCAATCAATAAATTACTGACATCCAATTTCACGAAAGAACTTAAGTGAAATTGACAGAAAACAAAAATTTTGTTCTACTTAAATTTCTGGTGAAACCGGCTGTTAATATATCGTAATGGCTTCATAAATTAGATTTTAAATAGAGAAGGTATGTTGCTTTACAGCTAGAGTCATGTAGTATTCGATTTAAGGAAGTGACTGGGTTCATAGGCTTTTTTAAGCAGCGTTTATATCTAGTATTTACATACATGCATACATATACAATATCTAAATTAGAAACAGTTTCTTCTAACAGCTGAGTGTATTTCTGTCATGAAATAGCTCCGTCGAGAGTGAGGGGGAAAGGGTGAATACCCAGTGCCCGGGCTTCTTAATATCAGAGCCATAACTATCACAACAGGGAACTACCGGGGCTTAGCTAAGCTTTCTGCAATTCCTAAATTATTTGAAGCAATTATAACAAATCAGTTGACTCATTCTATCTCTTCTAGCATTTTATACAGTCAACACGGATTTTACAAGCGCAAATCAACTTCTACAAATTTACTTGAGTTAACATCCTTTATCTCAAAAGCATTTAGTGAAAACAAAAATGTTTATGTTAAATATACTGACAAAGTGTGTCACTGTTGCTCATCTATAAACTTGATATTCTTGGTCTTCAACCTAATTTTCTACGTTGGATCTCTTCATACCTCTACGATAGATCACAAAGGGTAATGTTTAAAAATACTATCTCTGACGTCATTGATGTTACTTCAGGAGTCCCTCAAGGTAGCCACCTAGGCCCGGTTCTGTTATTGCTTTTTATAAACGTTATT